TATCTATTCAAACCATGCCAAGAATAGCGGATTAATAATTTAAATTAGAAATCATTCATGTAAATTCAATTAATATACCTGAAAATCATGATGTACGATAAAACAATGTAACGCGAATTAAAAATTCGTGAATCCTCGCATCCAGGAATTTTGAAGATCAATGCAAAATTTTCCTATTTTAACATTAGGATTAATTTACTATAAGGATATACTTCGGAGAACATGTTTTTTTATTAGTTCATGAAAAAAAAATATGGACGCACCAATAAAATCTTTTTCAAGGAAAAAAAAAAGGTCTCGTTGTCATATTTGGAATTTGTAAATGCATGTTATATGGGTGTAACTCGGATGCGATATTCCGAAATAAAGTAAATCGAAATATTTGAGAGGCTTTGCTATTGTTAATGGCTTTGATTTACATTGAGGCTATGAAATTAATTAGATTATTTCATATCGAGATAGATCATAAAACAACTCTCTGCTAGATTTCAAACTTTTCATTTTTATAAAAATATCATGAACATTCAAAGAGGAATTGTTTCTTTCGTTTCAATAAAACGAAATTATCTGTGCGCATTGCTAATTAATGTCATTATTATGACCCTCGTTCAACCGATTTTGTGTCACAGGGAACTTCATCATAATCTTAAGTTACGTAAACACAAAATGGTTCATCATAACGATTCCGATTTAGATTCTTTAGAATCCACGACAATTTGTGGTAAATTATGTATTACAAGCTTCACGTTAATGATGCTATTTTATTTATTTATGGCCGCTTATATTTTAAAATATTACTGGAAAAGAAGAAATGCTACAAGAAAAGGAAGGGAAAAGCGTTATGGCTTTGGTAATGAACTGAGAATGTATCGTCACCTTCATAGTAAGAACAGCAATGATAATAGTGGTATTGGTTGGAAAGGAAGAAAGGACGAAACAGTTGTGATGTTGGTTTATGAAGAACCTCATTCAATACTTTAAATCTATCACTAATTTATAGGACCGATTGATCATCATTTAAATATTTACAAAAATAAATATTATGTAATTTACTTACTTTAATT